CCTATCTGTTCTACTATTGTCATCATCTCTGTCTCCACCTTCAGTAGCCACCATCACCGACCAGCCCAGGAGTGACCCAGCCTACGCAGCTCGGCCCAGCTCTCCATCTCCTCACCTCCTACTGTTGGTCAACACCCGGTTACTACTCATCGACAGGACTACGCACTATTTCCCTCTGTGCATTTTGTTATTTCTCCTCATCACTGTACATAATAAATCACTGCTTGCATCGAAGTCGGCTACCTGGGTCTGCCTCTTTCTCGTTCGCTCACTGACAGGTGCGAACGGCACATAACAAGTATGACTTTATATAAGTGGTTGTGGAACGAAGCATCTGAGTTTCCATCATTTCTTATGGGAAAATTCACTTTGATATACGAGTGCTTTGGATTACGAGCATGTTGCCAGAACAAATTATACTTGCAATCCAAGGTTCCACTGTATTTACAAAAGTTGTGTCAGTGTGTCATTTATTATTTGGTTATAATTTTTATTTTTTTGCAGTTCTTATTCAGTTATGTGGTATTTGAATAGACATGCATACACGAATAGACCTATTAAAACCAACTTTTCAAATGCTCTGCACTGGCCCCACTGGTGCTAAAGCCCCCATTTAGCCCTAGAAAGAAAAACACTCTGGCACTGCCTGTGGTGAGACATTTTAGCTTATGTGCTTTTCTTGTAAATGCAAATGATATTATGAAACTTTGAAATGTAAATATCTGGCAAACCTGGGTGGATGCTGAGAATATTACATGGAAATCAAGGAAAGGCTGTACTGTATAACATTTATTACAGTGTTTTACACAGAATTACATCTTTCTTGTGGGGGTGGATTTTTGTTTTGAAATGAGAAAACCAGAATCAGAACATGAACTGTTTCCCAATTGCCGTTTAGAAATACAGAAGCAAAAATGGGTCCTCTTTTGACTGGATATTTAACTAGGAATTAAAGTAGCATATGTGCATTCAGTTTACTATATGTGTGTCTGCGTTGGGCAGAGCAGCTTCAGTACATACACATAGAAGGTGCAGGGCAGAGGCCACAGCAGAGCAGACAGGAGGATGTGACGCATATTACATTTCTAACTCTGTCTTACTAATACCTTCGCTCCAGACTGTCTTTACACTTCCTCAGAATGAGCACTTTCTTATAAAATAGCTTTCAATATTTGTTTGGACTGAGGGAGCACACAGTTCAGCCTGCATGAGTAGTTGATATTGAGTAACATTCGAGTTCCCTTTTTTAATGGATAAGAAGTGTAATACTTTCCCCTTCTTGTCCTCAGCTAGGGCAGACTCCAGGCCTGGACACACCCATCTTCCTGCCCAGAGACCCACCTTTGGCCTGGCTCTTGGCTAAGATGTGGGTGCGTCATTCTGAGTTCCAGGTGTTCCAGCTGCTGTCTCACCTGCTCAGGACTCACCTGGTGATAGAGGTGTTTTGTGTGGCTACTCTACGACAGCTGCCTGCTGTGCACCCTATATATAAGGTAAACGACCCCAAAAGTCATATTTTACCTAACTGTAGTTTTCAACTAGAAGAGTTGATCCATACTGTATTTGTATACAAATCTGGGGCTAAAGTAGAAAGATACATTATATGATCTATGTCCCCTATCTTGATTTCTATTACATTACTGTTAGTGAGACTTAAAAATTCTTGTACAGATGTTACACATTAAACACTTACTGTAAGTTGTTCACAGAACACAATTCTTTTCTTTACATTATGCTGAATTTATCATGTCAGATCATTCCTGAACAGGTCATTTCACCACTGCTGTTTTTTGGTGTACATTTTTAGCAAAGTTCAATTGTTTATGCTGTTGGAATTTGTTATCATTATATGAGCATTTGGCTTTTATGACAATTGATTGTTGATGGTAGCTTTACATGCTGAAGCTAAAACTATCATGGTGTACGCTGATGTTTTTAATGTCTTCTTGCTGCAGCTCCTGGCCCCTCATCTGCGCTACACACTAGAGATAAACTGCAGAGGACGCACTCAGCTTATCGCTCCTAATGGCATCTTTAAACGGGTGTGTCACACAGAAACACAACATTTCACTGGGACTTACAAATGTTTGAACCTCTTTTATGTGGGCCTGATGTACTTTGCCAAGCCTTCTACCTTATCGCATTCACATAATAATGGAGGCCATCATTGTGGTGATGGTCATATTTGTGTAAAGGTTGTGTCTACAGGTGGTGATGGCTTGTTGATTCTGGCGCAGAGAGAGTACAAGGTGCTGACCTACCGCTCCCTCCAGCCTCATAATGACTTTATGGACAGAGGAACGTTCCAGTTGTCAAACTATTTCTACAGACAACACAGTCTGATGCTGTGGGAGGCCATACACAGGTAGATCTTTGAAGATTCAAGGAAGTCATATTCCATCAATATATGCTAAGGCATGAATTCCTGTAATTGTACAATGTCACTGAATATATAATATATGGTATATTATCAGTAAGAAGAGAATTGTGAATAAGTGTGTTTTTCAGTATTTCACCAGATGGAGAAGAGAAGGGTAAAAATTCAGTTTTGCACATCAGAGTCAAATAAATATTGTAATCTATGAAGATTATAAAGGTGGGAGTAAGTCACACGTGCAGTTCTCAAGTCTTAACCTTCAAGTCTCAAGCAAGTCCCAAGTTACTATGGTGAGAATCAAGTCAAGTCCCTACTATAAGTCACAAGTCAAGTCATACACAATTCTGATGATGTGACAATGTTGAGAATATCACATATTTAAGTGAAACACTGACAAACCTCCTGTGATTATTAATTGCGCATTTGTACACTTTTCACCAATTATTTTAAATAACCTTACTGTCCAATGTGCATAGCCTATAATTAGATTCAGAGAGAGGGGGACTTATGGAACAAAATAAATGGTAAAATCACCACCTCAAGGGAATCCTTAAACTATCACAGAATACTTAACTTTGTTAGAAAAAAAAGTCTTGCGAGCGAGTTTTTGCGAGACATTTCCTTCTGCAAAGAAATAATAAAACATATGTACACCTCATTTTTTGAGCTTTAGATCATGTCTAAGATGATAATTCATCATTGTAACATTGTAGTTAAGTTAAAAAAACAAGGAAAAGCATGCCACGTCTTTAACAAAACTAAATGTAACTTCTCAATATCTAGAAAAATACAAATATTAAAAAAGTGAAGCAATTTTGAGACATCTGTCTCAAGGCTAAAACAAATCTCAAGTCATGAATTCAAAGTCAAGTTGAATCTTTTCCAGTGTTAGTCAAACAAGTCTCAAGTCCTTAAATTTGCGACTTAAGTCTGACTTGCATCAAGTCATATGATTCAAGTCCCCTACCTCTGGGGGGTTACCCAGTTTAGCCTCCAGAATACAACCAGACTGGATTAAAACAGTGTGGAACTGGAATTGAAGTGAAAACTCAATAATAAAATATACTTTAAATGTCAGAGTTTGCCAAAAAACTTGCATGACAGGTGAACCTCAAGCAAGTCCAGTTGCCATCTAAGCCCATGTTCAGACTGAGTTTCAAGGGTGTGAAAAAACACAGCCATCTCCATTCATTTCTATGGCTGACTGCATTCACCACAGCCGGCACCAGTACCACAGGGTGGCTATAATAAAATGATGCAGCCCTGTCTGGTGAAAAAATTGGATCTGGTTCAACTTTTGGTGCACCAGACAGTGACCTCATCCAACAAACATGCTGCTTTGACAATTCAGTCACCAGAGGACATTGTTGGCCGTGGAAGGACTGAAACACCACCCAGTGGGATAAATAGCTCCTGCTCACCACCAGTCAAACAGAACTGATGAAGCCTCTTGGATGAGACGTGAAATGTCTTCTACCTAAAACTATGTCCAGATGCTTTCTTCTAAGTTTTTTCAGCATAAAGCATTCAAAGCTTTCACCTTCTCATTTTGACAAAATGTTTTAGTTTTAAAATGGATATCCGAATTTAAAAAAATCCACACTGAAGAACTACATATTCTATATTTTTCTAGATACAGTATCTGTATCACAACAGTGTGCTGTATTGTCTGCAGCAGGAGCTAAAAAATGTAATTTTACTCATGTGGCTTTAAGAGTTGACTTAATGCTACTGATTATAGATAATGAATTATGTGATTTGAGGACACTACAAAGGACAAGATCTGCCTTGTGCTTTCAATAAGAACTAAATGCAACTCTTCCTTCAGTTTTGTCTCAGGTATGGTAAGCTTGTACTACCAGTCAGACCATGATGTACAGGAGGACCTGGAGCTCCAAGCCTGGATCCAAGACATAACACAAGAGGGCTTCATAGGGATCCCCCATTTTGGTCAGTCAATTCATATCCTGCATTTTCATTCTAAACACTGTTCAAGCATGCTTGCTATTTTGTAAAGGATAGTTCAGCATTTGGGAAAATAATTTTATATGGTCTCTTTCTGAAAGTGAGATGTTCAGATCACTATTAGTCTTATGTCTGTGTTGAGTAAAGAGCTGGGGTCAGGATGTAGATTAGCTTAGTTTATCTAAGCATAAAGACTGCAACAGCCAGTCTGTATAAAGTTCAAAATATACCTATATTAATATTTAAGTGCAACCTAACATTAAAGGAGTCTACATAAAGTGCTGCTAGCACAAGACGGGATATATTGCTCACATGGTACTGTCCAATTGTTGGTGGATGTATTTCAGGTCTGTCCAATACACTGAGCACCAGAGAGGAACTGTCCACCTTGCTGGCAGTGGTCATCTTCACCAGTACAGCCCAGCATGCTGCTACTAACAACGGACAGGTGTTGAACACTAACACATACACAATGATGTATATGGTTGTTCTCAAAGATAGTTTAAAAGATCCTAGTTCAGTGTTGATAGTACAGTAGGTCCTGCACTGAGTGGTGGAGGATGGACTTGCCTCAGGGTATTTTTTAATACCACCACAATGAACTAACAAGGTTTGACATTTTCAAATACTACAGAAGGGCTTTAATCCATGCTCCTCCTGTTGTTGTTGTTGTTGTTGTTGTTGTTGTTGTTTTAGTTTGACTGGTGTGCTTGGGTACCCAACACCCCATGCACCATGAGACATGCCCCACCAACAGACAAAGATGCTGTTACCATGGAGATGATCATGGCCAGCCTTCCTGATGTCAGCCAGTCATGTATGCAGATGGCTATCACATGGCATCTGGGGCGAGCACAGCCAGACGCAGTGAGTCCACCTTTGTCTAGATTATGAGTCTAAATTTAGTGTGCTGATGTAACTGGGCTAAAGCGTGAATTCACCCAAATAATGACTCAGCACCTTATTTAAGTTAAGTTGTCTGCTTGAATAAATACCACCACTTCCCTTTGGAAGTATTTATTCAAATAAACATTTTAGGTTGAATCTGTTTTGCTCACTGTATTGAAAAATTATATTTGAGCAGTGTGAGTTTCCGGAGAAAGGTTTCCTGCTATTTTGGATAATCCACAAGACAGTGTTTATGTTTATGTGCTTGGAGTGCTCAGCATTGTGCACGTTGGCCACAAGGGGGCTCAAATGTAGTCAAAAGCCTTTTTACACTCACAATGGTGAATAATCTTTAAAATATTCCTGTATCGAAATTATGATACGCATTGGCACCAAAATCTAATCAATTGTTCCATGGGCTGTACACTACCTTTGCAAAAAAAATAAAATAAAAATCACCAAAATCCCTTCATTATTTTTTTTAGAATGCTGTTAACAGAGAAACAAACAAAAACACAACCCCTGCCCTTGGCAGATATCAGTATGTGTTGTTATAAAGCCAAGGATCTTGTAAAGATGAAAAAGTTTGACATGAGAAACTGATCAAAATTGTTATGGTGGCAGCATGACATGAGGGGCACTGCCATTATTTTTATTTAGCATCACCTTTTTATTTGGACAGAATACAGTACTGCCATAACTAGGGGACAATGTTCATGGATATAAAAAAAGCATAATGTGCAGTGTGTAGTTTAA